CCCATATGCTCCAAGCCTATCCTATGTCCTACGCTGTTAGACTCTGTTGTGCTGTTTGGATCCCGCAGCTGTTTGGGAACTGGCTCTTCTGGTGATGCACGTGGGCAGGGGCCTTACAGGCCAGGTGTATGGGCCTGCCTCTTTTCTTTTAAACTCCTGTGTGTGTGTTTCGTTTGATCTACAAGACTGTTCCTTCAAATTGATTTTTTGCATTGTGGTGTATGTTCTTCTCCTTCTTCCAATTGTGTTTTCAGTTGATCTTCTCTGAGGCTCTTAGACAGGACTCCTCTGTTCAGCCATGTTTGATCCCTCTTGTCTGCTTTTGTAAACTTATTAAAGTGTTATATACCTGTAATAAGAAGTGGATTTAGATAATGGTTTAAAATACAGTACCTTTTTGCTTATTTATTCACTGTTTGAAAATGTGAGGTTTTAAATTATTTTATATTTTCATGACATTTTATTTTACAATAAAGTGATTTTTTCCTGATGATCATAAGTTGTTTTCATACTTTTTTATGAATAAAGCTGTGAATGCACAAATTGACTCTGAGCTTTTACATGTATATACATGTTTATAGCAACACAACTCATAATAGCTAAATCTTGGAAGCAGCGCATGTATCTATCAACAGATAAACAGATAAATATATTTACACACTATGGAGTACGACTCTGCCGTAAAGGATAGACTTGATTGATTTGTAGGATAGTGGATGCACCTTGAAACCATAATGTTAAGTGAAATAAATCAGACACACATGCTTAAATATTACATGGCTTTGCTTACATGAGAAACCCAAATCATAAACAGCAAAACTGAAGCTAACAGGAAGTAGGGAGATCATTCTTAAATGGGAAGAGGAATCAAAAGATAGAGGAGGGAAGGACGGAAGGGAAAGAGGATGCAGAAAGGAATTAAGATGCGTAATATGCATGTACTATCTCCACACAAAGAAGAATAAGCATTATGTAATGTGAACATGTAAAAAAAAGGGATGTGGGGAAATAAGCAATGAAAAATGAAAGGAATTGCTATGTTATGTTCATGTACCAACATCCCACAAGAAATGTAAACATTATATACTATACACATGTACTAATAAACGAAAAAAAACTGCAAATTGAAAACAAATATATGTCATATGTTGTCACGCTCGGTATCTCAGTTGGTACAGTAAAGAAAATATGTATTCTGACCTTTTCTGTTTCAGCTGCACAATCCTATATTCTTACTATATTTCATAAATTACATTTAGCCCTTATGCATGTATGAAAGATAAGTTATAAGGCACATTAATCCCTATATACATAAATTTAATTTTCTTAGGTTGCACAACATTAAAACGTAGCTTAAAATATTCATTAAAAGCGTTTGGAACAGTTTGCCTTCTTGAATAGAGTGAGTGACTACTGTGTGTGGTAACTTTAGAAGCTTGAGGAATAATCTTCTTAACTTTTGTAGCCTTTTTTTATATTCATGTTTATAATGCCATCAAATTTTTGTTTTAAAATCTGCCATCATTGAAAGAATCATGGCTGCAAGTAGGGAGTTAGCTTCATAAAACTTTGGGCTGTAAAAGGTCTTGCAGAGGAACTTATTCCACTTCTATTCAATTTTGTGGATACTGAAGCCAGAGATACAAACTCATTAGGCCAAGCCGATAAAGAGAGCAGAAGTAAAACCAGATCCATATAATGATCCCATACTATGTCATTCTGTTATTGTACATTAGATTTATCACTTTCGTAGTGCTCATCTATCTATCTGAATATAAACGTCACTTCTCCTATCTTTCAAAACAATAACTTCAAAGAGAGATCAGCATTCTAAACCATGTTTTGGAGAACTAAATGTGTATTATTATTTCTAGACTTGTGTTTAATTTCTGACTTCTAAATTTCAGATGTTCTTTTTTTCAGTGGTGCTGATTGTGAATGTCACTCCATCAAAGTTTTTCAAGATTACCTTTATATTTCTGAGAATTAGAGCTTATTTTGAATTAAAGTTTCTTTAATGCTAATACAAATCTAAATGTGTTGCTTGTGCAAGAATTGTGGTAGAAAATATATTGTGTTATCTTTTTAGCCTACTAATCTTTAAAGCAATTGCGAAATGAAGAAAAAGGAGCACAGTTTACAAAAGGTAGAGTTAGGATTTAAAATATTTACATAATACCCATGGAAACTATTTCCACTTATATAGCATATTCTACCATGTTAGTGATAGTTTTAAGTTAGTGTTAATGAAATGTAATAATTTTATGAAAGCATTTATTCTGTTTGACCAAGTTTGTGTTGTTGTTTGCCTTTAATTGCCAAGTTAAGTCTGTGATAAAGACATGAGATACAATAAGTATTTCATATATGGAGCTGAGTGTTATTAGAAGTGTGACAAATTTTTTGCTGATGTACAGCCACACATTTCCACGTTGACATATACATTGTTTCATGTGAAGGCTCAAATAATTTGCAAAGAACTTAATATGGATCATTAAAAATATGTATTTGTTATAGTAAAACTCTTATATGTATTAATAGGGATATTTATTACCTTCTATCATCCATTTGAAAAAATGAATGGAAATAGAATTTTTAAAAATGTAATAGGGGGGGCTGGGGATTTAGCTCAGCGGCAAAAGCGCCTGCCTGGCATGCGCAAGGTCGTGAGTTCGGTTCCTGGTACCGGAGAAAAACCAAAAAAAAAAAAAAAAAAAGTAATAGGACCATTAGCTTCTAAGTATTAAAGTATTTATTTTTACATTAAATAATTAATATAATTATTATATTAATTGTAATATAATATGATATAATTACATTATTATATTATTCTAATACAAACATCACAGTTTTAATAAATAATTATTAAAGACCATAATAAAATTTATTGAAATGCATCACTTAATGAAGTAGAAGTAAGTAAAATTGAAAATCTGGAAAATGACCCCCTGAATAGTTATTATGCCTTATGAGAAGTACTTTTGTATTCTCTAGCACATCCCAGTTTAAAGACTACTTACTTAAACAACTGTCTGCACCTTATGCAGATTATGACAGTGACATAATATCATTTAGTAAATTGAAGATGTGCACTCTCGAGGTAGATTCCTGGGCTTGTATCCCAGCTCTGAGTCCCAGCTTTTTCTTTTATCAATTGCATGATTTTGGGAAATTTACTCTACTGCACTCTCTGGTTTTTCATCTGTAAAATGATGAATACTGGTATTGCATAAGTAGAAAGAATTAATACTTACAGCATGCTTAGAATAGTGTAGAATAATGATACATGCAATTTAGATATATAGTCAGTTGTAGGTCTTTTTAAATTCTCTTTTTATGGATATATCTTTGGTGTCTATGAACATTTCTCATGCAAATTTAAGGATAATCTTTTAGTGTTTTCCTTGCCTTTGTCCTGGTAAATCAGATAATTTTCTATATTTCATGTAAAAAACCAGTCAGATTCCTCATGCATATGTATGCATATGTGTATTTGTGTATGCATGCATATCTACTCAAACAGTTAAACTTAATATTTGCCCATGGTAGGAAATCAAATTATCATAACTACTGAACATTTATTGAACACCCATATAACTAAGTATTGTATTTGACAAAGAATATAGAAAGACTCTCTAAAACTTGTTCCTACAAAGAATATATGAGGTATTAGGATTAGTGCGATTTTGAAAATAAGCAGAATGTAAAGGTACTATAGCTGACAACTTATGATCCAAAGAAAGCTAAGATGTATTCATAATAACATATATAAGTAGGTGACTCAGAAACAGAATTGTAGAAGGAAAAAGTTGTGAATTTATTATACCTTTTGAAATAATTATTATCATACATCCTACAGTATTCCACAACCATTGAGAATCATTGTTAAATTCATGTAAAAACAATCCTCCAATATAGCAGATCTTTTATTAAACCATAAATAATTCTGGAACTATCCTAGATTATTACTTTCTTTAGTGGATCAGGGCAGCAGTGGGGAGTTTAGGTGGGGCAGGAATATAAAATTTGATCTTGGCTCACGTAGTCATTAAGAGTCCCTCCCCTCAGTTTATTCTTAGAAATCTTGGAATCGTTGAATATGGAATGAATTTTGATAATGAGAATCCTATTCTTACATTGGCTCCCATGATAAAATTTGAATTATGTTTTTAGAGTTTCAACAAAAATTCTTACTCTCTGAAATAATCTCTTAGATGAGAAGCAGATAGACCTTTCTAGTGGTGTATTAGGGAGAATAATTTCTAAGTACCTTTTCTCCAGTAAGTACTTTCTCCAGTAAGTACTCCAGTAAGTACTTACTCCAGTAAGTAATTTCTAAGTACTTTCCTTCCATGCATAGGTCCTGAGTTTCAGTGCTTAGGACTTTTGTTCAACTTTTATTTCAGCATAGGCCTTTAGGAGTTCTAACAAGTAGGCTGTACTATTGGTAGTACATCTATGGCATGCGTGCTACAGTGGGCTGTTTGTGTCATTGAAAGCTCTAGAAGATTCACCATCACTGGGCTATACTATTTCTAGGAAGGACCTTTTTTGTTTGTTTATTTGTTTAACAGGATAGTCTGTAATCCTAAATATTCTGTAAGGTGCAGGCCTTTTGAATTTGTAAATGCAAAAGAGAAGTGTTTTCAGATTTCTAAAAATATTATATAGACTATTTTGATCCATGCCTTTTTGTGCACTTTCAAGTGTATGTATAGTTCAATCTAAGTCAGCAGTGTTTCCCTAAAAGGCTTTTGGAGAACATTATGATGAATGTATTTGTTATTAACTTATCAGCAAAGTGTGTGTGAATAGATTCTTCTGTGTCTTAAAGATAGGAAGTGTGATTCAGCTTTACAAAATTAAGCTCAAGTAGACTGAGTATGAGTTTTTTCAACTATTATTTAATAAATGTTTTCCCTGAATATATATCTTCAGTATGAGTGAAGCAGTTGTGACAAGGAGGAAGTTAAAATTTTTGTTTTGTTTTGTTTTTGCAGATTTAGTTCATTTGACTTGTACATCTTTTAAAACAGCAAGAGAAGATTTAGAACCAGTTGTGCAGAAATTGTTTATTCCCTATACGGAAATGGAGATAGGTAAGAAAAATAGTGATTCATGATGAGAAGGTAATGTAACTGTCATACTCTCTTTAGATGTCCCACGAAGGCTTCTGCATTCTAAACTGAAATATGTATTCAGCAATGCTGAAATGCTTTACTAAGGTGATTGAACACAATGTCTACCTGACTCTGAGGAAAATCTTCAGTCTGTATGTTAAAGGAAAAATATACATCATACATATACACAAAAATGTATTAAGTTAAATACCAAATATCTATATGCATACGTATTTATGGGAATGAAGAAAAAACTGTCAGAAAATTTCTTATTTTAGGAAGATTATGGGCAGTTTTCCCTATAATTGCCCTTATTTTACATATTTTTTACAAAAGAACATATATTCCTTTATCAGAAAAGTTACCTTCCTTTAAGAAAAGCAAGTTGATTGAACTGATAAAATGCTAATTTCCAAATGTTGGAACTCTTCCCATCTTTAATCCATAGCATGCTAATGATGTGGTAACTCTTGAGCTCTCAAACCTGTACATCTTCTTATTTATGGTAGAAAAACGCTTTTCTACCACAATTGTTCAAACTTTTTTCCACATAATATGGCAGCTCTTATAGCCATGAATGGAGCAAATGTGGCATATTTTTGTGTGTAAGTGATCAGAGAATAGCCTCATGAATTTTTATTTATGTGAACTGAAGATGATTTGGTAGAATTTGCATGTTCACTTCAGTCTTGCTCTGCTTTCGTCCATTAATTCATATATCTTCATTTTCTTTGAATGTTGCATTTGTTCAGACAACCATGTTTACTCCTACTTGCTGTATTTCCTTTTGGCTTACGTCTTGTGTATGTTTGTTTTCTTACCGCAGAGATGGTGCAGAAAGGACATCTACATTTACATTAGAAAACCAAACTTGCACTCTTGTGAATTAATATTAATAGAATTAATTTCTTTGTGTGCTGCCCACATAAAGTCTTTCAAACTAAAAACTTGTTCCACTTTAGAATTTGTTTATGATTTATAATCTATTCATTTGAAAATATCATATAAATGTTTAATTTGGTTTTAAAATTTTGATGAAGACTTAAGAGTACATGATAATGTTCCTAACCCTAATACGGACTAATCATTTTATCTTTTGCCTTTAATTACATGTGTCCCTTGTTCAAAAAAATCTAAACGTTCTTGTCATTCCTGAAAACTTTATATTGTTTCTGTTGTAATTTCATTGTGTAATTCTCTCAAATAATACAATACATTTGGATCTTGTATCATTACTCCTCACTTCTTAAATAAGTTTAATTTTCTGTTTCATAAAATCAACCTGGGGGCCATTATATGTTCATTACTTTGCATCCTCCGGGCACTTTAGATTTTTAAGCCTTAATATTAATGGTTAAAGTGATCCTATTTTGAAATGTACTTTTAGAACCTAAGCAAAATTCTTTAGTAAGAACTGTGTTCTCAGAGGGGTGCTCTGGTGCACTGAGGTACTGAAAAGCTAGTGTTCACTGACACATAGGCCTTTTTATCATCAGGATGAGGTAGTGATCATATTTTAATTAAAATGTCAGAACAAATACTGTTGGAGTTATTGAAAATGAATCACCAGATAAAGTGAGCACTGGGCCATGGCAGGTCAAAGAGGCAAAGTCACCTGGAGAAAAGAACTCAATTCATTTTCCTGCCTAAATGAGGTCGAAGAAACTCTGAGCACTATGAACTTTTAATACATTAAGGCACATTCTTCTCTGTAGCGAAAACCCTTACTTTTCACAGATTGATGGCCTTTATTTTGTTTATATTGTTTGACAATAATACAAACCTTTACACTTTAGAGCATTGTATTTTATGTTAAGACATGTACCAAAGGAATGGCTTTATTTTCTTTTTAAGCTCTGCATTGTGTATGATGTGTGCATCACAAACCTTTGAAAAAGCCTAGCAACCTTGCAACAGCTCATTACTTGGAAAAGATGGTATCTTCTTCTGAACTATAGTACTTTTTAGATAATATGTGTGAGAAATTCCAATTGGGTTCTGAAGGTATTCCCTCTCATTCTTACATTTTCACTTGCATGTATCGGCCAGAGCTCTTGAGATGCCTTTTGGCTCAAGAAGCAGTCACACTAGTAACTTCTAAGAATCCCACCTGCCAGTCTTTTAAGGACTTCAGAAATCTCAGCACTCTTCTTACTTCTTACTCCAAGGAAATGCCACATGTTTTATGTTTAATGAATGTGATTCTTTAGCTAAGAAATGGAAGCAATTGCTCACTGCTCGTATGTGTACTAATTCTTCCAGACTGTAGGGTATCTTTCAATGCCCCTCACAGAGATTTATAAAGTACTGAGTTTGTCAGTCTCACTGGAAGAACTATCCTAAGTGTTTTCTTATTTTACCCATAAAATTTTCACTACAAATTGCAGCAAGAATTTTAATAGTACTACATCTTAAAATGTCTAAAATATTGTTTCATCACTGCATCATCTTTTTTCACTTTTTCTCACCACTGTGCATGGCTTGTGAACTTATCTCATTCCATCTCGTTCATGTCAGTCTCAAAGAGCAGAATTTCCTAAAAAAACAAATTCCTCTTATGAGTAGTTTGAAGTTGGTGGCTGGGAAGAGTGTCAAATTCTTTTTGGGCTGTGAAAGCAAAGCTCTTTTCTTTTCAACATTTGTGACTGGTTAACTATAATGTAAGAAAATAAATCTGCTGTATTTTGCATGTTAGTAATGCAGTGCTGATATTGACTGGTAAAATCATCATCATCTGCTTACATAGAAAGCTTCATTTAGTAGCACAGAAATGGATACACAATAAAAGGCAAATACAGGCCAAGAATGGAGCCCTACAGCTCAGCAGGCAACTTAACTAAAATAGTATACTCTCTCCTCAGACATGAAACGCGGCTATGGACTATTTTTTTAATTTGATTTTGCCATGGTTGCTTGTTTTCTACTTGCTTTATTTAGTACTTAATCAAATTTAATCTGCCGAAGATCTTTTTTTTTTTCAAAGCTCTTATTCTAAATTGCTTATTGCTTCCTTATTCCCTCACACTGTGTAAATGAAAGAAATGAGGTAATGCAGAAAACCATTTCTACATGCACTCTCATAACCTCACTTTTGTTATTCGTTGCCAATTTGTGATGCACTCCTAGCCAAAGCTCAGCAACTTTAATATTTTTTGACAATTGCGTTGTTCATATCTGCGTGGTATTTTTCCACTTGTCTCGGTCCCCTCCAGCTCACCTCAAATAAAGATGAAACAGTTATATAGCTCTTTGAAGGGTTTCTTTTAAGGGCAAAGTTTGATAGTTTGTATCTAGAACATTTATGTTCAGTCTATGTCAAACTTTTCACCTGGTTTCTTTTCAAAGCCTTTATTTCCATGAAATTTCTCTCCTATAATCGGTTCGATTGTTTATTTCCCTCAACTTTCATTCAATGAAAACCCTTCTCTGCTCTGGAACTTTTGTGAAATACAAAATAAGCACTAGCATATTTTTAGAAATGGGATGAGCAATAATTAAGACATTCCATACCTTCTTTGCAAGGCTCCCTAAGTCAGATGTCACAAATTATATGTGATATGTTTAAGTGCCTTCTCATATAATTCACTGGAACAAAGTTCACCAACTTACTGAAACCAGTATGGTTTTAGCTGTGAGATATCAGTTCATTATGTTTTTTTATTTCATACGTAAAGGCTTTGACATGTTATGTGTGCCTTCATGAAGTTAATGATACCTTAGACTCAGATCTTAGCATTAGAAAGGAGCACCTTCAGAGATCACTTTTTCTACACAGAATTTCTTCATCCTGTTGCATTAATTATAGGCTATTCAGGATGAACTAGAAAAATAGAACATTTAGTATTCTTGCAGTAAAGATATATATTTGAAATTAAATATAATGAAATCGTATTTGTCACAAATTGGGGACTAGAACATGGCTTATTAATTGAATACTACAATTAGTTGCACATTTCTCCACATTTATTACCAACTGAACAATAACAGCAATTGACTAGAGAATTATCCCTTTATTATTTTCTTTATGATTCACAAAGTGCCTCACAGTCTTTGGTAATCTTCATAAACATCTATTATTAATATTGTACAGAATTTGTGTTTTTGTTCAGACACAGACGAGAAAATTCTACAGTCAATAAACATATTAACGATAATACTTTCTGTCTTCAACTAAAGAAAATTTAATGAAAACATTTTAAAAAGAGATGCAGAAAAATGGTTGGACCTTTGTATAAGCACATACTTGAAAACAAGGTTAAAATCAATTCAGAAATTATTAAGCATCTGTTTTGTGCTAGGCCTTGGTTAGGGGATCAAAACAAAGAGTCAAGTTAGAACTAAGCCACACTTGTGTATGTATCCCCAGCTTCTTTTTCAGTGCCTAGTAGGCATGGCACACTCACTGTTAAATAAGAGAATGTATTGAAACGACATGCACTCTCATAACCTCACTTTTGTTATTCGTTGGTTGTCATTCATTTTGTGATCCAATATGACAAAGCATTAGAATGTGAGTTAGGATGTCAAATTTTTTTTTAATCATACATATGCTATTTTAATAATACCTTTATTGATATATCATTTCTATGCCATATGACTTACCCATTTAAAATGTAAAATTCAATTTTTAAAAATACATTGAAAGGATTACCCAAATATCATCACAGTCAATTTTAGAACATTTCTATCACTTCTGCAAGAAACCTCATATCCATTACTACTCACCTTGCATTTGCCCCCAGCTCCTCCCATCCTTCGATAACTTCTAATTCCTATTTCTTTAAAATTGGTTAGTTCTGGACATCTCATATATGCATATTATTAACTTACTATGTAACTTATCAAGCTGGTTTGCCCATTTGAAACACAAAATCAATTTATGTTATCTCTTCATAGATATAATTTAAGGATGAATGTGATGATTGTAAGCACTTTGATGCTAATGAGATGTAATAGAAATCCAAGGGAGCATAATTGGAGGTAAATCAAATTAACTTACTAATCAGAATCATTTTTAAAATCTAATTTGTCTTAGGTTGAAAACCCATTTTTGCTTAAAATATATATATAAGTAGAGTTTGTGGATGCACATTTAACTATTGTTCATATACATTGTTACTACATTGACTACTCATGTGTTTATTGGTAATTGGTTACACAATATAGGAATTGGTAAGCTTAATGTGTATTTCCATATTCAGAAAGTGAAGAAGTTGAGAAGCCAAGAATTCTATGGGCTCTCTACTTCAATATGAGAGATTCTTCAGAAGTCGGCAGGAACTGTTACAATGATTTACCACCCAATGTTTATGTCTGCTCCGGCCCAGACTGTGGTTTAGGAAATGATAATGCAGTCAAACAGGTAAGGTTGTTGGTATGTCTAGGTTTTGTATTAAAAAGTTGGTATAGTAGGGAAAGTGGGTTGCTCTTTTCTTCTGAGGGGAAGGAAAGGAGACTAGAAAAACATCTCTCTCTTTTACTACCATCTCTACAATTTGCCCATATGTGATTTGTCTATGAACAGCAAGGCTACTTTGAATATACTTTATCCAATACTTTCACAACCTTGAATATAATGATTATAAGATATTATGAGTTCCATTGTGGGAATAAACATGGAAGATGTTAGAAATAATTTTCATAAAAATGAATTTATAATGCCAGCATTCTGAAGAAATGTTAATTCCAATATAAGCAGTTGGCCTGTAAGTGTATTATTTTGAAATACACAAACTTATTTTTCCTTGATAACCTCAGTCATTTCAAGAAGGGTGTAACTAGAAAAAGGCATAGAAAATGTAATTTTACAGTAGTCTTAAAGCATTTTTTTTAATCTTGGAAAATAATATAACTTAGTTTTTCACAATTAATACAGTTTTACTTAATGTTTTGTCAAAAACCCATAGTGTCCCAAGAGGTATTATTATACCTACTGAGGAGTATGGTAAATCCAAGTAGAAGCTTGTTACAGTGTTCCTGGGCAGATTTCTGAAAAGGCACAGGCTAATGCAAGTTGGCAAATGTTAATTAAGATTCCATTAAGCAGAAGATCCATACGCATAGACAAATTCATGTTTCTGCCCTTGAGAAAAAGTAAAACAGCAGAAACTACTTTTTGAGACACAAGTCTAAACTTTTGTCAGAGTTAGCAGATGTGTGTATTACCTCAGTAAATGGTGGTGGTTTAATGTTGCCTGATGGCGAGGAGTAGATTTCATTCCTATTTATGTCAGGGAACTTTATGTAGAAAAATGCTTCATTGAGCCTTTAATCAATTTTTTAGTTATAGAAGCAGGGCCATAGACAATGACCATGATCCAGACATTTATGACCTTTTGCTAGAATCCTTCGATTTTCTTATTCAGAGTCTAATGGTGATACTTGAAAAATCATATTCAGCTAATGCTAACAAAAGCAAGAAATCATATCGGTCACCCATTACTGATTTTGTTACTAGCTGAATATCTCTTTTTATGGCCTAAACTGATCAAGTCAGTTTAATTGTAATGGTCCCTTTTTTTTTGCAAGCAAAAACTGACAACTGTTTTACAGGTAACATAAGTTGTTTTTGTCCTCAAATAAACTTTAATATTTTTGAGCCAAAATGGAAGACCTTTTAAATAAGGGCTAATAGTACAAGTGATAACATAATCTCAGCTGTGTATACCCTTGAAGCATACCCCAGTGAGAAAGAAACCAGTGTTTTCCTCTCTTTGTTCCTTCTTTCAAATCCATGTCATAGTTCAAAGGATCTCTATTATCCCTTCAACCATCTTCAAAAAATAGAAAATTTAATCACCTAATATAGTTGTTGATTTTACAGTCAATAAAGTCTGTTACCACTTCTCAACTCTGCTTTTATACTGTGAAAGCAATAGTTAAGTGAAGGAATGTAACTATGTTCCAATAAAATTTTATTTGCAAAATCAAGCACCAGTCTGGATTTGACCTGTGGACCATAGTTTGTCACCTCTTACCTAATTGCTGAAAATGTGTATACTTCAGGAAGAAGGATGAAGCGGTATAGGAAAACATGATTCTTAAAACAAGTATATAAGGAAGGCCCTTTTATGACTCCCTTTTATCAATAGGTTAGAGTGCAAGCATCCTAACATGACAGGGATCCCTACCTGACAGTAAAGTGTATCACTGGCACTTGACATATTTACTTTCTATTTTTTTAGTAAGATCACATTTATTTTCTAATTCTTTTACCCTGCCACATTAAGCTCAGCTTAATGTTGCGATTTTTATTTGTTATTGTCAGAAATAATAACTACCATTTACCTTTATATCAAGACTTACTCTGTTCCATTTTATAGATGAAGAATCAAAGGTCAAAAACTGACTAAGCATTCACAGCTACTAAGTGGCAGAGAACATCTATTCAAAGTCAGTGCTTTGTATTGAAGCCATCGTGTTGAAAGTTTATGGACTTAAATACTGTGCTATACTTTTTAAAGGCCTGTAGGAGGGAAATTAGATCAGAAAAGAAAATAGTTGAGCAAATAATAAACAATTTTGTTTATTTGAACAATGACTTGTTAAAAATATTATATACTAAATTAGAATGTATATATATATATATATATACCTCAAGTAGAAGCTATGGGAAATGATAAAGAATATTAAGGGAAATTGTATTTGTGTTGATATAGATTCAACATGCTTAAATTCTCAACAGTCTGAACACTTGATAATGAGTCCAATCAAAAATTGTCATATTTTTTTTTTTCCTTGTTTTTCCGGTACCGGGAACCAAACTCATGACCTTGCACTGGCTGGGCAGGCGCTGTGCCACTGAGCTAAATCTGCAGCCCCTAAAAAAAAGAATTGTCATATTTGAAGTGTGGGCCACAATAAATGTATAGAATTAGAAGGAGAAAAGAGAATTGTAAAGACTGATTTTTAGAAAATCAGATGTAATCATCAAATATTGTTACATGGTTGAATACATTTTTAAGTGACACTTACTTTCTTTAGATAGTGCCTGAAATGCACATACATTTTAAGTTGATATCCACAAGGGCTGGGGATTTAGCTCAGCGGCAAAGCGCCTGCCTGGCAAGTGCAAGGTCACAAGTTTGATTCCTGGTACCAGAAGAGAAAAAAAAAAAAAAGACAAAAAACAAAAAAAAAGATATCCGCAAATGATTTTCTCCTTTCATCTCTTGCCAGGCTGAAACAATTTTCCAGCAAATCTTCCCCAGTGAAGATTTCTGTCCACCCCCACCAAATCCTGAAGATATTGTTCTTGATGAAGACAGTTCACACCCAGAAGCTTCAGAATCCAGTGTTATGCCAAAGCCCAACTCAGAGACTCCCAAGGAAACTACAAGTCTTGGAAACCTAGAAGAATCCTCTGAATAATACCAAACTTGATACCCTAGTTTTGAAATTCTTACTGGCCTCAGAGTCTTCTGGATGCAGGGAGTGTTTGAAAAATATTAGAAAGTAGTAGCCAGTTGACATGCAGAATTATAAGAAGAAACAGATCACAGGAAGCTAAAAGGGAGTTTTCCTTGAAGAGGACATTCCAAGAACACAAAATATTTGTGATTGCCTGTTTTAAAATATGAAACCTATAAGATTAGGAGTTAAAAATTATAAATAGACTGATTTCCAAGTATGTAGCTGTAGATGTGAAAGTGATCCATTTTTAATAATTCTGTAAGGACAACTTTACCTGCCACTTTGGATTGTTGCTGAAAAACCACATCTTTGAATCAGTTCACATATTTCCTTTGATTATTTGAATTACTTTTTTATGTATATGAGTGTCATGACATAAAAGTTAAAAGTATATATAAATTCAATGGAGAAATCTAAAGTATCATGATCCAGACAGGAGCGTATTGAAAATAAAAGTTTGTTTTGTTTTTATGTTAAGAAAAACTGAAAATTCTAATAGTGAGATTTTTAGACATTTTTATAGACAAATCATGATTTGTCAGCAGTGACTTTATTAGTAGTAGTGATATTTGTATGTGAATCATGTACAAACTAGGAAAGCTAAGTACTGAAGAAATGAAATAATAAAAGGAAAGTTTGGATATAATCACTGATATTTGAAGATAATAGTCAAGTAACTAGAATACCAACTTAATTGTCTACAGACCTAAATGCTCAGCTACTGATACTATCAGGCAAATTGTTTAATTTCTGAGCCTCAGTTTCCTCAGATATAAAGTGAAAATAGTAATAGTCTACCTTTTGTAGGAGAATGAACATGAAGATAAGTTTAGTGCCAACCTTAGAATGTTTTTTTCTGAAAAACAAAATTGTTTCAGAATTTTCTCGTGGACCTGGATGTGAATATCAAAAAGCCTCATGTGGCAAATAATTGCTTACTGTCAATTCCCTGACAAAATAAATCAATTTTTATTGCATTAAGCTTCTTAAATGAAAATTTGTTTATTAATTTAGCAATAAATAGTCTTTGTAAGCCATTAGACCTAGTGTTATAGTTTACACTTAATATGTCACACAAAAATATAGGGTGTTTGGAGATTGAGTCTTTTTTTAAGAGGCAGGTCGCTGGAGGTGTAAGCTAAAGGGGTGTATTCTTGACCCAGCTTCTCCTTTCCTTCTCTGCATCCTGGTTGCCATGTGTTAAGCAGCTTTCTTCTACCGTGCCCTTCCACAATGGTGCTTCTGCTTCAAAGCCAGCCAAACTTACAAGTGAATCCCCAAAAACCTAAAGACGAATTAAACCTCCCCTCCTTTAAGCTGTGTGTGTTAGGTATTTTGTCTCAAAAATGGAAAAGTCAGTAAAGTTGGTAGCAGAGAAGTAGGGACATAGCAATGACTCTGGTTTGAAGCCTTTGGAACTGATTTACAGGAGGCTTTTGGAAAAGGTTTAGAGATATCACCAAGAAAAGCCTTAAGGTGCTATAAGCAGAGCTTTATACACAATTCTGGTGGGAGCTCAGAAGTCAAGAATGTTTTTGTTTTTTTTTTTTTTGGTTTTTTTTTTTTGGTTTTTTCTCCGGTACCGGGAACCGAACTCACGACCTTGCGCTTGCCAGGCAGGCGCTTTTGCCGCTGAGCTAAATTCCCAGCCCAGAAGTCAAGAATGTTGATAGGAATGCAGGTAGTGAAAGCCAGGCTCACAAGGTTTTAGATGGGAAGAAGAAGCCTATAGTAACTGAATTAGAGGCCATGTGTGTTTCATTCTAACAAAGAATTTGTCTGCATTTTATCCATGTCCTAGGAGTGTTTGTGAAGCTAAACTTAAAGGTGGCAGACTAATTGATCTGGTGTAGGAAATTTCAAGGCAGCCTAATGCTCAAGCTGTGGTATAGGTACTTCTGGCAGTTTTTAGCCACATTTTAATAAGAATCAGGGACAAAAAGCAGAGCTGAAATATTTTAAAAGTTTACAGTTTCCCCAGAAAGGAAACTCCTGTGAAGGTGCCAAGGACAGTATGGTTGATGAAAAGGTTAGCATCTAAACAAAGCCATTACTTTGCATCAAAAAAATAGGAAAAATGACTTGAAGTCCTCTCAGGAACTGGCCAGACTCCTAATCTCTGCAGATCCAAGTGTATAGAAGGAAAAAACTCTGAAAAACTTTGCTTTGAGAAGAGAAACTTAGGTACCCTGCTCATCCAGGGCCACCTATGGAAATGCTTCCCTGACTTTAGACATCTAGACACTTAGATTGCTTCAGCCATGATACAAGGGGGCATGATACTTGTAGCAGATCTTAGCACTATCTGTGTCGTGCTGGCTTTTCAGGAATGCAAAATGCAAGAGTTGTGAAGTTAAGGAGGCTTCCACCCAGACTGCAGTAGGAGGCCTGTGAGGTCAGGCAAAATGTGTGACAGGATCAGTCTCTGCCTGGTGCCCCTGAGAGGGCAATCCTGAAGTTTTGAAAGTGGAGCCAACACTGCTGTGATAACCCTAGAAAGATGTAGATGCCAGGAATATGGAATGTCTGCTGAAGAAAGCTGCAGGCGTTAAGCAAAGCCACCGTGAAAGAGGCCACATGGGTTACAATAGACAATTCCGTAGGGGCAAAGCCATGTAAGCCCTTTGGTGCTTACATATTGCCACAACCTGCCCTAGGTGTTGGACATGTAACTACAGGATTTAATGTTTCCCTGCTTGGTTTCAGTCTTGCTTTACTTCAATTCCTTTCTAACTGCTATCACCCTCCTTTTGGAATGGGAAATTTTATCAGTCAGGCCTTACTAGAGATACAGATTTAATGCAAGATGTACAAATATATAAGAATTTACAAGATTGGCTTACAGTGGCTGCCCACAGAGTCTGGTGTGGAAAAGTGCAAAAGGGCTGTCTGTGTGTCAGAGATTGAAAGGATTCAGTTGAAGGCCTAGAGCTCACTGTAATGCCCCATGTGAGTCCATACCAGGAGGCCAAAAGGTCTCTAATGGAAGGTTGAAAGGCCTGCACTGGAAGGCTGAATAGTCTGCTGGAAGCCAGAAGATGATGTCCAAGGTGAAGGTGAAGACTGGAGCTCCTCTGAAGAAATAGAAGTGAGCCTTCCTTCTTTGTGTCCCTTTTGTACTATTCAGGTGACAGGTCTCACTAGAGTGGGCCTTCTTTCTTCAGTAAATCCATTCAGCCACACTCAGAACTATGCTGATCCTATTTAGTTTTGCATTTCATACTCATGTTGACACAATCAGTTAACTATCACAGTTTGTTTACACCATTCCATTATATGTGCAAAGTATTTTTCTCTTTGGTTTTTACAGAGGTACACAACTAAGAGTTGCCTTGAATTTTAGAGGAGACTGAACTTGAACTTTTCAGCAGTACTGGAATTGTTAAGACTTTGGCAACTCTTAGATATGGCCTAGATGCATTTTGCATGGTGAGAAAGACATAGATCTTTGGGGGACAGGGGTGGAGTGCTACCGTTTAGATCCAAAAGTCTTGTATTCTTAAGTCTTATGAGGTAGGGCTGGGCTGGAAGAGGCAGGTTACTAGGTACATGGTTTAGAAGGGTGTTCTGTTCCCTAGCCTCTGCCTCCTTTTTCTGCTTCTTGGCTACCCTCACTTAAGCAGCTTTCCTCCACCCTGCCCTTCTACCATCCTGCTTCTGCTGTGGAACCACACAGCCATGACCTGAATTTCCCAAAACCATGAGCCTTTAGGTTGTGAGTGTAAGATATTTTGTGCAAGCAACTGGGAAAGCTTATGGATATGCATAGTAACACATGTTATTAGTTTGAAATCATACTAAGGAAAACACCATAAATTCATCGTAGTCCTTTTCTGGTAGGTAAATGTGAAACCATCAAGGACACTAAGTGCAGTATGATGGTTGATAAACCCTGTATATATTCCATGAGACAACAAATCTAATCATGATAACAGTGCCTGTATTTGTTTCCCCAATGGTAAACTATTTTGAGGAATAGTTTGGACTTAAAACTGCTTGTAAATAAGCTAGGAGTTTCTTGTTGCATGGTATGTCCTGTATTGCCTGTCAGGAAGCCGTGGCTCCAGTGCTAAGCACATAGTTCTTGTACACATCTGCTGCAGATAATCTCTGACCTCACGAGTTTCCTGAGAAGGTCTTAAAGGAAGCTGGGTATGACAGCTTACAGATTCATTGGAAGAAAGAGCCAAGAAATGTAGATCTTGACTCATCTTTCCAACCCTTGCTGGTACAGCTGAATATAGAATAAATGAAAAACTTTACAGCTGTTGAGCCTGTTCTTACCCTTTCTAACTACCCTACAGCTCGTCCCTTGTTTCATTAGTCCCCTTTTTGTGTATCTTCCCCTTTTATAATATCACACAAACCAGGGACAGTAAAATCACATATAACCTACGTTGTTATAAGGATTCAGATATAAAATCAAATCATGTCTCCTGAATTGCAAGCAGGACATACAGTAAATACCTCATGCACACCTATGAGCATACCAGTTATTAGCCCTGCCTCTTGATATCAGCAATATAAAATGTTTTTTTACATGAGAGTATTGAGTTTGAATACAGCCTAGTAAGTTGTGAGTAAAAGTACTATCCTTTGATAGGGACTTATGAGGTTTTTTTGTTTTGTTTTGTTTTGAGGAAGGGTCTCAGTATGCAGTTCAGGCTGGCCTTGAGCTCACTTTGTAGCCCAGGGTGGCCTCGAACTCGCAACAATCCTCCTGCCTCAGCCTCCCGAATGCTGGGATTACAGGTGTGCGCCACCATGCCTGGCTGGGACTTAAGAGAGAAGGCCTCCTGAATACAATGTACACATTTATGTAAACAATTAGAATAGGGTTAGAGTAAGTAGAAAGTTGATGATAAAGTCACCGCAGCTGTCTATGTAGAAAAGTGGATGAGGTATTTTGTGCTCTCACAGCGCAAAACATGTATCCTGTTTCATCCATTTGACACTATAAGAATATGTCCTCCAGGTCATTTATTGAATGTTGAAATTGTTAAAAGCTTTTTAATATAATTAGTGAAGAGTAAAATCCTATGCTGTGCAAGTGCTAATTTACAAATGATCAAGATATGTTAAATTCACGTACCAATTTTCCAAAATGAACAACACCATCCTATATTACTAACATGCTCTAATTTTAAAAATTAAAACACAAAGAAATTGAGGAATTACTGTAAAAAAGTTTTCTCTTTACCTTTCCTAATTACTGTAAATAAATGTTTGCTTTTATAATTTTAAATCAAAGAATGAAAACCTTTTTGGATTTGTTGCAAAATGTTGAGCTTGAACTCAAGTGAATGGAATAAAGACATATATAAGGCAAGATCTTCTGTAGCTAATTTAAGTTTTTGAAACTTGTAATTATCAAATAGTTTCAATTCATGTTTAAAATGTTTACTTATGCATGTTTCTTATTAATCAAAAATTATAATCTGTTTAGATTGATGAGAACCATTAACCAATAACAAATTTTGTGTTGTTTGTGTAATTTTTTCTAGTTGATGTGCCTGCCCAGAGAACCACATATATAATAAAAGTCAATTTATATATTTTTCTACAGTAAAATGGCTACATTAATGGATAACTTCTAGAACAATGGTACTTTCTGAGACTGTCCAGAATAGTACCCATGATTCTTAATTTAATTATAGATATAACTAATATCTTTCTAGATCATAGTTTTGTGGATTGTCTGCCCTTTGTCTAAAATCCTATCGAGGTCCAAAAATTTTGAGATTAAATTGTTCAATAGTAGTGATCATTAAAGAAGAATTATAACAATTTTATTATAAATCAGTTATTTATTGCCATTGGTATTGAAGCTTTTGTCTTTTGTTCTGCATAAATTTTCTTTTATGTACTTGAAAAGCATAAATATATGAAAATTCATAATTTGCATACTGAAGTACAATGTTTTCAGAGGAAATAAAGACTGTTTTAAGTGTGTTTCATCTGTGGTGTCCTCTTTTCC